GGGGGGGGGGGGGGGGGGGGGGGGGGGGGGGGAGAGGGGGAAAGAGAGAAGAAAAGCAATGTGAGAAAAGATAGGGAAGGAACTGGGAAGCCGTGACAAAAGGAAGTGTCAGTTCTTTCTTTTAGCCCTGAGATGGTCCCGAAGTTGTTCGTGTAAAAAAGTGTACAAGTGAGTAAATGGAGCGGAAATTGCCTGAAATTGCGCAAGGCTTCAACAAAAGGGCAGAAGGTTTGTTCAGAACGATGCAAAATAAATCCAAAAACAAGATGGCAAGCATTAAACTGAATTACAGAGCAAACAAGTGGGCTAGAACAAAATTCAATAAAGGATGTGCAAAAATATTACAGGAGCAACAAATTTGAGTAATGCAACGCCGCTTGGGTTACCAGTTCTCATTTAGGGCAGGGACTGCCACTACAAGATGCCTAGCTCCTTCTTGCCGAAGCAGTACGCCCACGGTCTTTTGAATAGTTACATGCCAGTGAATCAGAATTCTAACTGGGCAAAAAAACCTGCCGAGTTGATGAAATTTTTACCTGCAAATATTCTCCTTTGTGATCTGCGTGAGGTGTCCAGTCCATAACCGCTGACCAGTCCTTAAGCAATAATGGTTCGACCTAAATGCTGCTCACAGTTTATTGCAAATCCTGACATTGATACAAAGGGATGCAACAGTCGCGTAGCCCTCATTCCCTCTTCGCTTTCTTAAACCATATATTATGGAAGCAGCAGCAGAAGCACAAATCATTCAGAACTTATGCAGAAAATTACGAATAATCGCATAGAGAACCTCTTGTTTTACTTGACGCCCAATCTTTTTTGTCATACTGTTAAAACTGTAATGTTTTTGAACATATAACCTGTGCTACCTGTGCTTCAACCTCTCTTAAAACAAGGCGTAGAGAGTGTTACGTACGAATCATTGAAAACTCTCTGACAGATTTACACGCGGGAATAACATATTTCAGTATACTCTTAACATACTAGTGTCAGAGATCAGCAGAGGTATGAAGGAGGGAACATCTGCCCCTACAGGATTTCATGTTTGTACTGGAAGGCAATTTGCTGAAGATGAAAATGATTAAGGGGTTTGGCACAGAAATTAAGGAACTTTGAATGCTTCTCTTCACGGATTATATAATAATGTTATCGCAAAAACCACAAACACTGCAGGATCAACTGAGCTGAATACTAACGTTGGCAAAATAGGATTCAGAATCCACAACGTGAAAATCAAGTGAACTAAGAATTTATACTGCCCGCAGTTGCCATGTAACTAGAAAACAACCTAGAAAGTGACACACCAGTCTTGCCGGTACGAACTTATGTTTTTTTCGCGCAGTTTTCCTCTGGGTAGCTCTATTTTTCTGGTAGGTACTTCCAGTTAAACGAATTGAGAATGGCCATCCACACCGTCACATATTATTACTAGGATCCTCAATAAACACAGTCGTCGCAATGCTCAGAAAACTTCAGCACTCTAGTTACTTTGGCTGCAAATTTACACCAAATTTCATGTGTTCGTACGTAGGACACAAAAGGAACGTAAAGTTGTTTTTCCTTGCACCTGCCCAAGCACGACCATCGGCCAAGCTCAAAATTTCCAGCATTCTAGTTGCTTTAGTTTCGGAGTTACAAAATTATACACATCAAATTTCATGTGCCCGTACGTGAGACGTAGAGGAGCGGAAAAATTCAATTTAGTTTTATGAGGACCTAAGTGAACAGTAAATAGCATGTAATATTACAGCTCTCTACAACTTCCTCTTCAGCATAACTAGCGTGCTGGCATAACAATTTGAACATTGACTTGTACAACTGAGATCTAAGGGTGCACTATGGCTGAATTTAAATTCTTTGGGTCACAAACGGGCAAGAACGTTCTCGCAAAGTTCAGCCTTCTAGCATGTCCGCCTTCCGAAATCGTTTTTCTGCCAAGATATCTTTCACATATTCGCACATGAGAACGAGAAAAACATGCGTGCCCATTTTATGCCTAGGGACCTATCCTCATTGGTAGACTAAACTGCCAAAATTTCAGCTTCGTAGGTTTCGTAGGTCTGGAGACTGAAACACACAGACAAACGCGAACACGCATGTACAAACACATACGCTGACAACCTTTCTACAATATGAGTTTTTGAACATTTCTGCAAATGCAAAGACGCATATTGGAACAATCTATGATGTGTATGTATGTGCATGCATGTGTATATGTTTGCGTTTGTGCTGTGCCTATCCGGGAATTTCAGCTCGATAGCTAGATAAGTTTAAATGCTGGAATTTTGCCAGTGGGTTCCCTAGCCAAGTGCGAACTCAGGAACGTGATATCGACTGTCATGCACGTCTATGTCCCACGTGCGGATACATGACGGTTTTGGCGGAAAACTGCTAACTCGAGAACGAGAAAAGCTAGAAAGCTGCAATTTCAAGAGTTTACATGCAACTTAAGAATTTCAAATTCAGTTCCTAAATACATTCCCTGTCCACTGCAACTTAAGGATTCCAAATTCAGTTCCTAAATACACTTGGACCTTACGTTTGAGCACGTGAAAATTTTGGCAGGAAAACTGCTAACTCAGAAACCAGAAAAGCTAGATCGTTTATCAATGAACGATTGGTCACTGAAAATTATTCATTTTCCTTCATGCAAAATTTACGATAATAAGTGCACAATTTAAATGTAAAGTAACAATCACCCACGTGGCTAATGATCTGACTGCTTCAATTTTAAGCATAAATGCATGATCGCGTCAGTAAGCCTCATGCGTTGTTACCTAAGTTTTTTATTGTGCGACATCCACTATGAAGATGACTCTACCGCTTTTAGAAATTTGGAATAAATCTTTTAATGATAACGTGCAACTTTTCCACAGCTAAAAAAAAATTGACTTTTTCTAAGTTTTATCTTTGCTGCAGCTTCAGAGTTGGATTATGCGGGCAAACAAACATAAGCACATACTTTAGATCATAAGACGTGTTCTTCTCGAATAACATGAAAAAAGTTTTGATGGTCGTGTTCGACATTTCTATGACTTACCTGTGATTTAAAAAAAAAGGTATGTGGACAACAATGGAGTCGCATCCTTAGTTATAGATCCAGCAAAACTGAAGTGACTTATAAAGACATAATTAGACAGTCTTACCAAATAAGGTTTATATTCATCGTTTAGTGAGTTTTAATAAGCCAGGATTTTGCTTTTGCAAAAAAAGCATCAAAGAGACAGAACAAACCTTTATGCCAGCTTGCAGCATACAGAGAATACCCTGCTTTGTATAAAGGTCACCACGGTTCAGATGCGGATAGAGGAATTTGACAGTCATCTTCACATCAACTTTACTCAGCTCTTTACGGATTTTGGATAACAATAGGCCGAGCAACTTGGCACATGCTTTATTACTTTTGCATTCATCCACCACTTCACATTTCGGGTCACAGTCTTGATGAAAGCATGGACTTTTCGACACATAAATCACTGCTTCGAATAAATCCACCTAAAAATAAGACAAAATTTTGTTTAACTTTCTGATAGAAGTGAACGCAACTCAAGTTTAAAAGTCGCTGTGATTGTTGGTTTCGTTGCATTTGTCTAAACTTGTCAACTTCAGCGCAAAGCTTAGTCCTCCTGTGACTAGGCTCCCGAATTTCTATGAGAATTAGCACTTCCCAGCTGAATTTCGCACCTTTTCTATCCTATTTTGCTCTTTTCTGTTTAATTTCAGCTCAAGCTTTTGTGTGCTCCCTTCCAGACAGATTGTTTTGGCACTCTCTTAATGCAAGAGGGACGCTTTCTTTGTAGACTCTAAACTGACTACTTTTATATGCTTAAATTTAGGAGTCTAATTCACATTTTTTCCTTGAAGTGGTTAGTTTAATTTAATTAACAAGCTGAGACATAATTAAAGTTGCTCGTACAAATCTGTGATTCATAGCACACGTATTTCGAAAACCTGTGTTTGTTAATAACCGCACGGATGCGCCTTCAACAGCTTGTGTGAGGTGAGTGATTAAAGGTCATAATGGGGCGAAAAAGTACCAAAACGATCAGCGCTGCTAAAATGTGCATAAAAACATAGCTCTAAGCAGTTTCATCTTAAATGCTATACACTAAAAAACCTTTTACTTTTTTCATAAATCACTAAATATGGTAAAAAGGAGATTAATGCGGTTCTTGAGAAAGTGGCTCAGTGCCTCAGATCTTTATGGATAGTGGTGAAGCTCGAAAATTTCCCAGTGCGCTTCAAGACTTTCTCACATGCAAAAATCGGAAAATGCTTTAATAACAAAACTTTTTATGCGTTTTTTGCAGCAATGCAATGCGAAAAACGCATACTGACGAGAGGTTGTCTGTG